GCAATGTCTGACGCGTCTGCCTCCGCGACCCGAAAGGAGAAGCGGCGATGGAAGATGATGATGATGATGAAATTCTAAATAAATGTCAGTAATTTATGCAATGAAATCGATTTACAAAGCGCCCTCCCTTAAGAAACATTATTAAAATCATGGAAGTAATCTATATTTGTAGAGAATTAAGCGATCGATGTACATGTTTCATTAATTAACTTTTAGGCGTTTGTAGCAGATCCAAAGAACTTTGGTTGCTGATGGAGTACTGCACGAATGGATCTTTGCAGAAATATCTTCAGACTCATGTTGTGGACAAAAGCCGGTGTTTACTTATGTGTCACGACATTATTTCTGGTCTGCTGTATCTACATAATGAAAACAAATGTGGCACAGGTACAAAATAGATCACTGTAAAGTTTAGTGCATGTTCATTTAGCTTATTATCGGTAATTCGGTAAGCTATAGCAATTACTTTGAGATGCGTTTAATTTTGTTACTGTGAACATGAAGTAACAGTTAATAATGGAATTCTTGCGCAAAATGTTATGAATACTGGTTGATTGGTCGTGATGGCTTTCGACTTAGTGTACATCCCCTTTGTACTGGATTCCATGAGGATCCAGGACATCAAAAAATGGTACGGAGACGTCATCACCATGATTGCTACTGCTACTCTGAAGCTTCACAAAGGCACATGCAGGTTCAAAATCGAAGTAGGCGTTCGACCAGAGATGCGATTGCATCTAAGTTATTCGCAAGTTATTCATTATTCTAAATTATTGGTCTATGCGAAGTTCTGAAGTCACATCGTTGTGAAAGTGAGAAGCGGAACAGAAACGGTCACTGATTAAACCAGCAACGATTTGCGGACGACATTCTAGTGTTCTTAAGGTCTGCAGAAATTCAGAGAACAGTTCCATAGCTGAACGACGCCACGATTGGAAATGAACCTGCTGAAATCAACGGATTAGGCTTAAAGAAGTGCGAAACTGTCTCTCTGCGACATTCAGCTCTACAACGAAAACCGACCATAGGAAATCAGCTGAAGAATAAAATTTGTATGTAGCATTTTTGAATGACTGAAAGTGTTCTTATCTGGGAAACTGTTCTTGTGCTTGAAACCGAAATTATTCGATTTGTGTATGCTCCCATTACTAATCTGTGGATGCGAGACGTGGGCTGTGACCCTGAAGGTTCTGTAGATGAGCTGTAGACTACGTAACGCAGCATGAAATCTGTGTTGGGAAAGATAGGAAGACGAATGAACGGATAAGAGCACATACAAGTATCTGCGATTTCATTGTCTGAGTGAAGAAGCTATAGTGGCAGTGGGTGGGACATTGTGCAAGAAGAAGCGACTATCGCCGGATCAGAGAACCATTAGACTGGGTTGCTTGAGAGGTTAGACGACCTGTAGAGAAAACCTCCTGATCAGTTGACAGGATAAGCTGACGAAGTTCGCTGTTTGAAGATGGATGAAAGTGACAAAAGCAGAAATTTATGGCAGAGGACAGGCCGCCATTAAGCAGTGGATCGACAAAGGCTGATCATGATTTCGACTGTATTGATTAGCAGAACTTCCAGCATTACCCGTTCAAAAATATATGTTGAAGTGACCTGTGATGCGTGGGCACCTATGCTAGCTTTAGCTTTGTGGGAGCTTCTTGACTGGCGGCTATTCGTCTGCTTCCTGTTTAGTGTTTTGCAACTCTCACCGGTAGAAATCGTGATGTCTGACCAATATCAGCAGGTGGCCTTACCAATTATGTCAATAGCAGAGAAAAAATGCCAGCCGCGGAACAAGTAACAACCGCGCAAGAGACACTTGGCTGATTGATCCGAACTTACTACCCCTCCTTCTGGCACAGCAGCGCACAACTATGAAATCTGTGAGTGAAATCATTTCGTTGCTGAGGTTTGGCACGACCAGTCGAAACCTCTCTCAGTTCTGAGATCGTTTTCTGTATGTTAAATAAAACGTTTTTCGGGACTGATGTGATTTCCACGGCGGCAAGTTTCTTCATACTTATTCTTTTAAGATCCATGCAAAGAGCCGCTTTTTCTGGTAGATTTTTTAAATCGCTGATGGGACCACTTGCTTATTCGTCACCCAATGATATCATCGTGCTTGGAAGATACTTCGTAGACCATATTTCTGGATGTTATGAAGACGAGCTTATAGAATCGCGAAAATTTTGTGATTGTACAAGAGCATCGAGAATAGTTATCCTGATAGCAATTTTTATGGACTGATGATCAGTATTTAAAACGGCTTCTCGAAATTTATTTATATAGTTCAATGCATAGTTCCATTTTCAGATCGGAGACATCATCGCTTTCCATGTCTGCTATGAGTAATTTGAAGCAGTCAACTTGATCTTTCGCTGTACCACTCCATGGTAGTATTTTGTTGTTGGCGGTGGCGAGCACTCTCCTTAAAGACCAGTTTTGCACTCAGTCGACTGCACAATGCAGGTTTTTCTATCAAGTTTACCATTACCACGACCTGGAGAATTAATTTTATGGTATTGAATGGCAGGCTAAATTGTTTGGCGATACTTCGACTTGAAAGCTGCTCCTAGAAATCGAGAAGCATCGCCTGTCCGTTTAGTTGGTTAGTCGCCTCGTAATGCTGTGTGATCCGTTTCCACACGAAGATGCCATTAACCACCCCCTGCGATAGTGCAAAGTCATATTGAGGTATTTACCGTCGATATTGACTGGGCACCTCGAGCAAAAATTCTTCTCTGACAGAATATAATTATTTCATTGAGCTATAATATTAATTGTACAGCCTGAACAAGCACTTTTGACCGCAAACTATGTCATAGCCACAGATTATGGGGCAACCACAGATTGTGGCTGAAGCGATGTCGGTGAATACTAAAATTGCAATTTAGCACGAAGGTATTGTAATTGATATGCCAAAGGCTTCGGAGCATTATCGGTCAGATTGGTTGCAATGTCCATAGTGATAGATTATTTTGAATGACATGGATTTGCTTTGAGACAGAGCAGTAGATAATGGTCAACAAAAGAAGTTTTACCATGAGCGCTACTCCCGCATCTGCTGCTGTAGTAACCATCCGGGTGTTCGAGGGATTCTTGGTGATAATAATAAATACCACTGCCCATGATTAAAGTCGGTGGATGAAGTAAGTAAACGAGATTATGCATATCATTTTTAGTTTTGAACGTTTAAACACAAACTACCAATCATTTTGCAACAGTAATCGTTTACGAACAAACTGCATGTAACATTTTTGAATGCATAAATACCAGGAAGTATTGGGAGTGAGAGAGAGAAATGGGATTATAACATGGCAAGAGAGAGGAAATTATATATCAGGTGTATATGAATTGCGTTTATATATGAATTGCGCATATGTAGGTGTTTAATTGCTAAACACCAAGCGGGTCAGTAAAACGTATTGCTAGAACACTTGAGGTGCATTGGTAGAGGAAGTATTATAGGGTCAGCCCCCTCCACCCCAAGGAGGTACATCTTCATCAAAGACCTCGTCTTCTAGTGGGATTCAAACAGAACAATCTGATCGAAAGTCCACTGTAGGCAGGTAAAGATTTAGGAATTTGTGGCATAAGTGGAACGAAAACATATCGAGATGAATGTACAAAACGAAATATAGGCGATTAGGCCGTCGATTTTTCAGTTTCCGTTGCTGTGTCACCAGACACTTTAACACACCTATTTGT